CAGACCTAGCTCCTTGTGACTTTTACTTATTCCCCAAAATCAAGAAAGAACTGGGTGGAAGAAGTTTCAATAATGTTGAAAACTTGTCACGTGCCATTCAGGCAATCGTTGAGATTATCCCTAAAGAGGAATATTACAAGTGTGATGGTAGTTTTGGATTAATTAAGAAACTGTACCGCAAAACAACTGTAGATTGCATGGGTCATATTGTTGAGGTTGTGAAAAAATCAAGTACCGCGGGATTAAACAAAGCTCAACGTTATGACAATGGGAAAGGTTTTCAATATTTGGATCTTAATTCCGTATTGGAAATTTTCTTTAAAAAATTAAATGGTTTACAAAAATATCAACATTTTGTATTCGAAGCAGCCAAACCTGGTATTGTCAAAGCTCAACTGGTTGCTAATGGTTCGTATGCTGAATTTTAATTTGTTAAAGACTAGAAAAGCAAGTGTTTCCAAAATTATCAAAGGAATTAAATCTTTTTCTATTTTAGTTCTAACTCCGCCTCCTTTGGATTACAAAAGACAGGAATATCTTTATCATAATATTCGCCCATTTGTTAGAGACAAATACAAGGATATTACTTGTCCAAGACCAATCTATACTGATAATGAATAAAAATATTTCAGTCAACTGCAAATTTTATTACTTTATTAGTTTTTGTTTGTTCTATTAAATTTTTTATATTTAATCTTTTAATAATATAGACATTAAAAATGACCAAACAAAATAATATTTTAATTGAGGAGAAAATAAAAGAACTAATTGGTAATTTACAACTGAAATCCAAGTGAGGGCAGAGATAAGAGCAGTTAAGGATTACTTTTGACTTCGGCCTTTTGCATTAAACACTTAGAAGAAAAAAAATTCAGAGAAAGTTTTGTTCGTCTTATTTACTTGCATAAGAATGCACTTGATTCATACGTAAAAGTTGATAAAGAAGTTAAAGATTTACAAAATTATTTAATAATTATTCCCTAATTAAGTACACTATTTGTAAATTTAAACGTCTCGTTCAATCTAGAGATTGGGCGGTTTGGAAGCCCGAATCGACAAACGACTAGAGAGCATGAACAATCAATTCGAGAGATTGAACGAGTCAATCAACGATCGATTCGAGAGATTGAACGATCAAATCTTAACGATCGCGAAAGAAAAAAAGACTTCTAATGACGTCTAGTACAAATAGCTGGCTCTGAATTAATGCGCAAATGTTTGTGTAAGGCATGTCACATAAATGAATCAATACTATAACATATTTTTTACTTTTCATAGTAATAGTAATCGCTAATATAAATAAGAGAAACAACGTATGCCTTGCACCCAAACGCGTAACAAGCTTTTTCTTTGTTCTTTTAAAAGCGATCTGCTAAACGTATAATAATAACAATAACAATAATAATAATAATCGGTAAAATTAACTATGGATCGAGCACGTTGGCACAAAATTATCAATTTTCGGTAGCGCATTACTTTTACGGTTAGAAGAAAACGGTCAACTGCTTGTGACCCGACAAGTTATGTCAGACGGGCTTGTTACCACGTATCAATGTATGGCAGGACGTATAATACGTGCATTGACAAACTTTTTTAGTACACTTGACTGTCAATCACCAAATTGTTTGTTGGAACAGGTCGTCTTATCTAACTGAATTGAGTAAGATATTTGCAAGCCCGATGTGGAGAAGTTGATGTTTTTGGAAAGATCAATCGCTACCTGGTTCTCTGTATTCGTTGGCTTATGACACTGTTGTGCATTAGCATCATTCAGATGTATTTTACACTTGTCTCCACCTGCCGTATTCAAAAGATATGATACGTCACAGTTCTTCCAAGGATTGGTTTTTCTTTAATAAATAAATACTGAGCAAAATTAGTTCTGCGAATTCTTTATTGACCCAAAATTGTACCAAAGCATATACTGTATAAACTATCATGAAAGATGTCATACTTTTGGAACCTATCCCGGGTGTTATCATAAAGGAAATTAGGGTAGAAAATAATAATAGTAATTTGGTATAAAGGAGTTGATTTTAAGCGCGGGAAAGGTTGCAAGTCATATTAGCTTTAACTACTTTTTTTGTTGTTTCATAGTTCAATCGTTTGTCATTAGATTTATATTCTAATTAAGAAAAACCCTGCATTACTCACACAGTAAACACCTCCCAAGTTGAATAATGTCTTACATTAACACATCACATCACCAAAAAGTTATAAGAAAAGTCCTAAATTTCATTGTGTCCCCACGGGAGATAATACTTTCATCTCCGCCTTTTGTGCAAATTCCCGTAGATCTCTTTGATGATGGAATTTCTTTACATTCCGTTTGAGCTCTTCAAGAATGACAAAAGTTAGGCAGAAATGCGGTCCAATACGCATGAAGTGAGTGGAGAATCCACGATATAATGCGGTCCAGCCTTCAGTGCGAATGATATTGTTGATTGTAACAAACATCCTTTGTTTTGTGTCTTGAGATGTAGATTTCGCATTGTATAGACGTGTTCGACTAGATATAAATAAAGAAAACCGATTAACATTTGTCAGGAAACAAATCAGGCATGCAATACGCAAATTGATTAAAAAAAAATCAATTGATGTATGGTTTCACGATAACATCATGAATACAAATCAATTTCGATACCTACACAACATCCAGAGGATTCATGAACACAACACTGACAAACGCGCTAATCAAACTACAGCTCATATCCAGTGGTACCCCGTCTTTATATCCATTTTTCCTTGCATAATCTTTCAACATGGTATAACTCGACAGATTAGCCGCACTACCAAGAATTCCTCTGTTTACACTAATTATCGATCCTCTGTACAGTCCTTTGACGCCGCCTTCATCGCTAACGATACTTTTCAGAGCACCAGGGATAGATGAATAATTATGCTGATTACCGACAGCAATAGCTCCAGCAGCTGTTGCCTGGAGACGCGTCTTTATTAATTCGAATGGATTCGCAGAGACGGCACCGAGAGCCCCACAAATTCCACCAGAAAGCATGCGTTTCCAGGCTGGCGCAGAGGATGGGGATGTTGAGTCGTTTGTTGGATGGAGTATGTTGATAATTGGATCATACAAACCCTAGATGGGAGAAACACGGGAGAAACATAAATTATGAATATAATCAATAGGTGTGTAATTTTAGAAATAGTAATTAAAAACAGAAAAAGGATTATCAATGGTTACCAAACGAAAGACATTCTTTGAGCTCTCTTTGAGTATGGATGGAGCCAAGCCCTTCTCCAAACCACGCAACCCTTCATACTTGAAAGTTTTTACCAGACAATCGAAACTGTTCTTGTAGACCTGGAGAAGGTGTTAAAAAATTATGAATCGGTAAATATTTTTTTTCTGGCATTCTTTGGTGTCTACAACATGATACAATGCATTTTTTCTTGATGAATCATAACTCAGCCATTTGTATTACACATATGATTATATGGTTCCACAATAATTAAGAAAATTTTCCGGACCAATCAATATAAACATCATATTATGACTCACTTTGTTTGAAACTTTCACTGTATTTCCAGTGGCCTTGACCTCTCCCTGCAGCTGCATTCGTACTTTGACCGTATCGAATGGCAGAGTGAAAACCACAGCCATGCTAGGTGCCAATGCGCAGAGAGCGAAATTCTCCAGTTGAGAAATGTTACGGCGTGGAGGGAGTGTTTTAAGCGGCGGGGCAGAAGAGAGAGATGTATCCAATTTTGCCTTGTTACCGTTTTTCATATTAATAGCAGCATTATTTGGATTTGATTGCTGTTTGGTGGGTTGCGATCTTGCGTTCATGTTGTCAATTGGATGGAGTTGGGCGAAGCAATTAGGGTATCAGGAAAGAACGTAGTTTATGAATGGGAACGTTTGCGATTTATGCGATTTTTTTCCGATCACAGCAATTTCGCATACCATGGAATAGTACCGTTATGATACAAGAAGCAATGAGAATTAAAAGTGAAATTGGGAAAAAAAATTTTTCTTGAAAAAGTGACGTTGATACAAGAGGGGGGAGGAGGGGAGCAAGAGATTTGATGGATGACTATTTATAATATTTTTATCGGGGTGAGTCGGAATCTATGTCATACGACAATAACTTAAATCACAAGTTTAGGTTGTGATCGAGTCAAGTGACAAGTACGTGTTTATACTTGTCAAACTGTAATGCTAAGACATAAGTGTCTTGTGTAGGTCTACGGATACTAGCTGTGTGTGTTCGAGGAGTGCTTGTATGTGTCTATTTAATATGCAATGTATGTTTGTTACTGAGGACAATCCTATGAGAATTGCATTTGTCATCTTTATGTCCATATAATCACAGAGTTCCCCCATATTATTCTAAAAATATTTAACCTTGTCACCCAGATCACACCACTCCGCGTGGTATAATTTGAGGCTGTATCACATTAAACTAGGCGTGCCTTCCGGTTTATTCCGAAACCGGGTTGAAAGTGGTGTGTGTGAGAGAGCGAAAGCACGATTTGTGCATAATGCCGAATTGAAATCGAATGGTATCGTCACAAGGGCGACTGACACAGAAACCTAGTCTATTTCTGGTGTATGGAATCTTGTGTCTATATTTGGATTAGGATACAAGAGCACAATTACTTGCACATGATCTGTTTTTAGTATTATTGATAGAACGGTAAGTTTCTTTCATTTGCCAGAAATAAGGTTAGCAAAGATAAGACCCAACAAAGAGAGACAGTAGGTTTCGTGATACTAAAAGAAATGCAAAACCGGTGGCGTCTTCATATCTCTTTCCATTTCTATTGTCCTTTTGTCTCTTTATCTTGTTTTTGCTTCCTCTTCTAGTTCTTGTCCTCCTTGTGCATCCGAATTATTATCCTTTCATTTATTGTTATTAAATGTCAAAGCTATTTACTAATTAATTAAATAGCGCCAAGAAGTCATTCACGTGATAGCGACGCAGATGACGCAACAAAATGTACCATTACGGAGTACCCGAGTTTGACACTGTTGCCATATTCGATATGGCAAAGATTTGGTTTATATCGCAAGCGTAGCCCATTTAAAAAACGCCCCGGATTTAAATAGGAAAAAATAATCCTTGGTGGGTGAAGTATTATGTAATTATGCATTGATAAAATACCCACGGTGCAAATAAGAATCATGTCGGTGAATATCACAGCGATTTTGTGCCGTCGATGGCCGAGTGATACAATGCAACATTTGTTAATAAACGCCTTTCGCTAAAAACCATAAATACATGAAAGCCGTTCTTTATCGAATTCGATTGTTTACCCTCCGTAACCAAAGCAGTAATACTTATATGCATATGTTTCAATGGTGTGTAACTCGTTCGGCCTTTCTATCGTACATGGTCTTTTGAGAGCAGTTGGGCTATCTAAATAATAACAACAAAGGATAATAGGAGAATGTGACCAATAGGGTTTGGGATTCTAGGGTCTATAGCAAATTAATAATATACTGAATGAATTAATGAACATCTGTTTATGGTTATTCCGTTAAAATGTTTACGTATATAAATAAACCACTGCATAACTTTTTTTTCCCTAAATTGCTTTACACGAGTTATTTGGGTGCGGCTTTATTATTGTTAGTGGAACCTATCACTATCATTTCTATTGTGAACATCAAAATGGGGGGTTGTGCATTTGTGTCACGTGATATCAATATGCATAACAAAAGTCGGGTGATTTATGGCTGCATAAAATCACGTGTAAGGTACATGCACCGTCCCCGACTACTCCGGAAGATGAAGTTGAACCTTTATTATTTCATCTAGTTTAGCCCAAACATCAGAAATGAACCATTATGTATCAAAGAAAAAAGAAAAATGTTCATTAAACCATTCAAAGGGAAAGACCATTTGTTTCGTTTCAAAGACTAAAACCAATTTTATCTTAGATATATCCATTCAAATGATCAACAATGAAAGGCTATAATTGAGTGAAACATTATTACGTAGAAAGCAGGAGGGTAAAGGGAGAAAGACGGTTTAAGCGAATTATGTACAGGGAAATAAAGTGTGAGTTGATTTGTCTCTCCTCACTCGTCGTAAATCGACATGTAAAAGATGTACCGTGAAACATGTTTCAATTCCACCACATGAACGAACAAAATGACAACACCTCTCATTCTGCACAAGAAGGGAAAGGAGGGGGTTGAATAAATCATTGCATTCATCGACATTGATTATCCTTATCTTTCGGCCCAATCGACTTGACAGCAGTCCCCCTTTTCACCCACTTTTTCTAAACCATGTGACCACCAAACCCACCAACTCTGATAATCTTCTCTCTCGTACCAGTCACCGTGCCTCCTCTGACAACGCCAGCGGTTGCAGCATTTCGTCCTGTCATGAACGGTGGTAAGACTTCTCCGCGATTATGATGGAATTGGTTTGGGTTTGCGTTGAATGAATCGATCGCACTCGGATTCATAAAGAGTGGTATTTCGTCGATTAACATGGAGTCAGAATCAAATGCGGATGTCGAGAGAGGTGTAGTTGAAGAGGAAGAGGAGACGGAAGATAACGAAAAGGCTTGAGGGTTTGGGATGGCGAATGTAGATGTCGAGTGAAGATCGCTAAATGGTGGTGGTGAGTGGAGGTGGTTGTGACGCTTTGTGCGAGCATCCTGCTAAGGTGTAGCCGTGAGGAGGGTTAATAAGAGGGAGATTACAAAAGGTCAAAGCGTAAAAGAAAGGTAGGAGTGTATAAGAGAAGTGCGTGTGGGAAAAAAAAAGAGATGGATTAGAAAACAAGAAAGAAAGAAATAACGAAATAACGAAATAACGAAATAAAACGTCAGTAATATGTTTAAAAATAAGTTATATTGGTTATTTCACAATATGTCAGTAACAGTGACCAATAACAATAAAGTGATAAACATGCAATTACAAAAGATATCGTTATTTTTCAAAACCGACTGTGATATTCATTCCAATTTCTCCAAGCGTTCGGTTGTCCCCTTCCCCGCGTTTGCATTTGACATGTTTGTTTGCTGTACTTACTTCAACTTGGTCGTCTCCGTCCAGTTTTCTTTTGAGTAACTGGGTGTTGAAATGCATGGTATTATCGAGTGTTTCGTGTCGTGGGAGAGTACTTGTATAATGTGTATTAGGTTAAAATCGACTCTGAGTTCGGGGCTGGTTGGTCAAAAACGGGTGTAAACAAATGGAGTATGGAGACAAGGATGGAAATATTTTGATTTGAACTCGTTGGAGATGATCTTTCTAATGCTATCCTTGAAGTATTGGAGGGGGGGCAAGGGGGGGGGGGGGGGGGGGGGGGGGGGGGGGGGGGGGGGGTTGGTGTGTTGTTAATAAATTTTGTTTT